TTGTCCTTGTCTCTAGGTGCTCAGTATTCACACCTTCCTCCAGGTTGTTCAGAGGAATGAAAACTTGATCCACACCAAGACTGAGGAGAGCTGGGGCCAGGCAGAGCAGGCTGCCTCCCAGCTCTAGCTCCCAGCTCTCAGCTCCAGGTCAAGCCCCCGAATTCGGATTCTGCTTTCCTTCTGGCCCATGACCATGCCAAGAACACTTTCCTCAGAATGGTGGATCTCAACCTGGGTTCAGGGCCAGTGGCAGCCCTGGGGACTGGATAGAAAGAGTCTCAGTCTTGGTCAGAAACAGGTGGGCCCTGCACCTGGGTCAAGCCCTCAAGGTGATTCTGTTGCACATTTAAGTTCACACATTGTGTATTTGTTTTTGGTGCTAGGGATGGGATCCAGGGCCTTGAGCCTGCTAAGCATTCCCTCTATGTACATGGATGTTGATCAGAGAGGCAAATAAAGTAAGTAATATAGCTGTCTCTCAGTGTCCAGGAGAGATTGGTTCCAGGAGGGCCTTGCAGATACAAAACTCTGCAGAAACACAAGTCCTTTGACTAAAACACCTGCAGTGTAGTGAGTGGGTGCAGGGGGACAGGAGGAATAGCTTCTGATGTTCTATGCACAGCAGGGTAACTGATTGCAGTAGTTAACTGAATATTTCAAAATAGCCAGTAGACACAGAAAAATGATGGGGTTTTTCGGGGGGGTGGTTTTGTTTTTGATGGTAGGGATGGAGCCCAGGGCTTCAAGCCTACTAAGCATGTCTGGGGTGACAGGTATATTACTTTCCTGATCTGATCATTACACGTATACTTGTGTTGCAGTGCTATTTTGTACACCATAGATATGCACAATTCCAAAGGGTCAATTAAAATAAAAATGTATTTAAGAATAAAGTGCTGTGGTATTCCTATATGACTTACCCGTATCCTCCCTTTAAATCATCTTGAGGTTACTTAGAACTCTTAATATAATAAAAATACAATGTAGCTGCTGTGCTGTATTGTTTATGAACTAATGATAAGAATAAGACTAGACACTGACAGTACAAAGGCAATTTTTAAAAAATGATTCTCAGTCCAAGGTTGGTTGAATCTGAGGTTGTGGAAGCCACAGACACGGAAGGCTGACTACACTGCCAAGCATGGTGCTTGGCCCACAATAGGTGCTAAGTATGGGGTCATAACTGATCAAATGCTATTTATTCTCTGGCAGCCCTGACTCATATAAATGACTGCTTGGAATGTCAGAGGAGGGAGCCTAAGACTGGATTAGATTGAATGATAAGTTCTAGAGGTGAGAAGAGAGGACCATGGCTCAGATGAACATTGCCACCTTGGGGAGCAGGGAGGAGTATAGAGATCCAGGAAGCTTGGTTATCTGTGAAGGACTTTCAGTTCCCAGGTTTTGGTGAAGGGGAATAATCTCCCACCCATATCCAGCCCGGACCCCTGACATGCCGCCAGCACACACACACTGCACAAGTACTGCAATGTCCTTGCTCTACCAGCCAAGTCGGGCTCTTGCTTCCTGCTGGCTCCAAAGTAGAGCTCTCCGTTGCATCTTCTCCCTTCGGCCTCCTCCAGAGTCCCATCCCACACCCTTCCTCCACCATCCCAGATATCTGTCAGCTCCTCCATCACAGCAGTCTCCATCCTGGCCCCAGCAGCAGTGTTAGTTATAGGCATTAGTGACTCTGATGATATTTTATGAATGACTTAGACATAGAAGCACTTCTCGGGATGCTTAAGCCAAGATGTCCAGTAGTACCAAGATCCAGTTTCCCTACTAGAGAAAAGAGTTGTATCAGAACTTCCCAAAGTCTTCTCCAGCCTGAGAGTGTCTAGCTCTCCTTTGTGTTATTGGTACTGGTCACAAGAACCACTCCCAAGACCCAGACCTTTCTAGAGGGTATATACAAAGGCTGACCTAAACAATGCCTTTAAATTTTAAAAATTACTACAGTAAAGGACACATTGCCATGACTCCCCACAAGTACTCCTCCTTGCTTTGAGCAAACTTATCCCATTGTTTTTATCACTTTTTGAAGCAGTTCTGGAAGCCTTCTTCTGTAAGTGTCTTTACAACCTGTGATCAAACTACTCACACATAAAGAATGAAAAACTAGAGTCATTTATAGCTAAATGGATGCATATCAAGGCCATACTCTTAAGTGAAATAAATAGGACACACATGTGTAAATACCAAATAGCTTCTCTAGTGTGAGAAAATGATAGTGTAAACAAGGCTTAAAATGATTAAAATGAATAATTGATAATTTGAAATAGGAAAAAAGGTCCAAAGACGATGGAGTGAAAGGAGAGGAAGGGGAAAGGAAAAGAGGGAAAGGAAAAACTATGAGAAAAGAAAAAAAAATGGAAATGAAATCTATGTAAATAGGGAAGGGTGGAGGGGGTGAAGGGTGCACAGGTAATGGGGAAAAAATAAGAACCAAGATACATCATGTACAGGTACAAGCACCCAATGATAAATGTAAACGAATTGTATACCTAAAACATACCAATAAAAGAACTGAAAAAAAAAAAAAAAAGCACTGCAAATACAGCTGCTGAGCATCATCCAAAGGAAAAGCAGGCTCATAAAAATGTTACAGTGTGTCTTCATCCACCGCACTCACTGGGTGTGGCACCCTGTGACTTCTGGCTCTTCCCCAGAGTCAAAATGACCATGAAAGGGAAACATTTTGAATTAATTCAGGACACTGAGGCAGCCAGGACAACACAACTAAAGACATTCACAAAGGAACTTCTAGAACTCCTTTGGAAAGTGCAAAAAACAATGGGATAAGTGTTCAAAGTAAGGAGGAGGATTTTGAAGGGGATTAATGGCAATGGGTTTTTTACTGTAATAAATTTAAAAATGTAAACATTCACCATATTTTTCAGTCACACCTTGTAGGTTCAGGGCCAAGGCCCAGCATCAGGTCACCATACCACTCCCTGCAGAGGGACACAGGCAGCTGAGTGACCAACTGCAGGGACCCATGCCCACCTTGGCTGTGTGCTGGAATCTTTTGGCTCCGGTGACTATATAATGTTGACATTTTGAGTTTAAGGGAGAGGAAGCTATTTCATATATATGTTTTCTTCTTTCCCTCTCTTCTTTCTCTTTCCATGCTAGGGTTTAGACCCAGGGCTTCATCCACACTAGGCACACACTTTACCCCTGAGCTACACTCCTTAAATCTTGCTTTGCTATGATGACACTCAGTGACACTGGAAAATCCCAATAGACCTGTAGTAGGGGCCACTGGCCAAGAAGTCTAGGGTAGGGCCAGCCATGTGGACCTGGACTCAGGCAGCTGTGGGCACCAATTCTGACATTTCCCATGGCCTCATGAAGACATTGGTGGATGTGTCACTTATGCTCCCTGAGCCTGTTTGCTGTGGCACCAATCAGGCAATAAGCTGTAAGGCTGCTGAGACTAAATAAGATGCCATATCCTACCTGCAGGCTGCTCTGTGAACTACAGGGGTCCCTGATGTCACAAGATCCTTCCACTGCAGAGTAGGGAGATGTGTCATTCATGTCTTCTTCACACCACAAAGCCATCATGGCACACTTGGGAAAGATGGGACCTGCTAGACCCTGAGGAGAGTCTACCCCACTCCCATTTCAGAAATCCAGAAATGAAGACTTGAAACTACAGATGCCATCACAGGATACCCCATCTTTATCAAAGGTTTAAGGGGGAAAATGGAGTGGAGGATATGGGGATGCACATAAAGGATATCATATTTGCAAGAAAGGCACTTGGTGTCTTTCCAAGCCTTGATATTTAAATTTGTTTTATCTTCTGCCATATTCTGAAAAGGCTCAGACATGGAAAACCAAGCACTAACTTTGCAGCAGATCTGCAATGTCATAGCTACCTACAGCAGTGTGATGGGAGCTTCTAGGCCTCGGCACAGCCCATGCAGAAAGAGGAGACCAGGAGAGCACATGTGTGGGGAGCATCTTGGGCCTCAGGTAACTGGTCCAAGGGGTCACCTCAGCTGCTGTGCTCCCCAGTCAGCCAATCCTGCACCCGTATCCAGATTGGGCCAAGCACCTTAGAGGAGGGCCAGGGAGCTGGGACTGTCATCTCCCTACTCCCTACTCCCTAGGCCGGAAGCCTAGAGGGGCTGTGTACCTGGTTTCCTCACCTCAAGACTGGGCTACTGCTGAGGCATGGTGCATGATCCAGAGCTACAGGGTGGGTGAGGAGGATACATTGGGATGCACCACTCCAGGCCCTGCTCCCTGCCTCACCTGTCCTGTCCTGAGGCTCCAGAAGCAGGGCCTTCTCCTCCCCTCCTTAACCCCCCCCCCCCCCCACATAAGCCCTAGCAGGTTTGCACTCTCCACGCATTGACTCAGGGCCACGCTATCCTCTCAGGTCCCTCTGATGGGGTCAGGATGCACCTACCTTGAATTGCACTCAGGTTCTTTTCAGACATGCCAGACTTTGGGGACCATAGGAAGGCCATGCAAATGTCAGGCATAATGGAGCCATCTGAGAGCAACTATTTTGTGACAGATCTGCTGGGTGGCTGCTGTTCTATGAGGATGCACAAGAGAACACACAAATCTTCCAGTGCCTCCTGACCCTGGACTTCTGGAGGGCTGTGTGCCATCTCCTCTTGCTTAAACTACCCTATGTAGAAGGCCTCTTTCTCGTGTTGGGAGCAACAGGCAACTGCAGGTTGTCCTTTAAAGGCCTTAGGTATGTCCTGGTCACCTCCCAGAAGGCCACTGTACCTATATGAGCCATGCCCCTCTCAGTGCCAGCTGGGGTGAGGATTTGCAAGGCAGAGGGGGGAGCTAAGGTCCTGCAAGGCCTAGATGCAGCTAGCTTTCTGCTGGTTGGACAAACAGAGAGTATGGAGGTAACCTTGGGACCTCCACCAATCCTAAATGTCACCGTGTCCCCAGAATCCACCCAGATGATAGACTTAGGATGAGTGAAAATAGATCAATATTTGGGAATGGGGGACGTTGACTTTGTCAAGATACCACTGTCCCTTTAGTTTATTAGCCTTCCATAAAAACAGAACATACATAATCTACAGTATACAAAGTATAATTTACAAAAATATAAAAATCTTGGTTATTTTTTAGTATTCCAACATATTAGTGTATATGTTACTTCCATATGCATTTCAACAAGCCAACCTAACCGGCCTGATTATCTCTTCGGGGAATGATGTCAACTCCTGCCTTTTTGCTTTAAAATATTAAAAGAAAGAAAGTCACAACTGTTATATGTGCATACTGTATGTAGAAAAGTGTCTGCGTTGGAGTGGAGAAGAAAACACCCAAACTTGCCATGACTGGGCCCTTTTTCCAGTTTGTAGCCCAAAGAGTTTTAAACTGAGCATCCAAAGAGCTGTTCTTTCTACACGGGGGAGTGAGCACCCCCAGATGTGCACAGTCCTCCCAGGTGTTGAGATGATGAGCGCAGACCAATGCCCCGACACGCTCTGTCGCCAGGTCTTGAGGACAGTGGGTCAATGAGTGACCTTTAGGCCAGGACTACTTCCAGACTCCTTCCAGGTGGGGACTCAGGAAGCATTCAGGGGGCTCAGTCACCAGCAGTGAAGACCCAAGATCTTTCTGGGCCCAGCAGGGTTGCCTGCAAGCTCCGCCCTGCACCTGCAGCTGCTCTGCCAGTCCAGGTCCAGCTCCTGAAGGCACTGCTAGGCAAGGGGGCATGAGACTACTTTCCCTGGTGAGGGCTTACCGGCAGGCACACGTCTCCACAGACATGTTGGGGTATACCTTCAGAACCACGTTCCGGTTCTCATCTAGGAAGAGGACCCCGAGCGAATTCATCTTGTCTGGAACACAGCAGGGCTCTGGGATGCCTGGGATGATGCCCACAGCCCTGACGATGCTCTGGATGGTGGCGTGGTTGGATGGGCGGACAATCTGCAGGGTGAGAAAGGAGCAGGGTCACATCCGTGCTCTGTACTCACCCACCCACCCCAGGTCCTCAAGGCCTCAGACCACAGCACTCTATTGCTATTTCTTGACCAAGGCCCTGGAAATGGTGACCCAGAAGAAAAGCTGAGTTCCAGGGCAGGCCCTTCCTTTGAGGTCAGAGCCTGCAAGAGAGCCCTCCCCGGCCTGCCCATCCTGCCTCCTTGCACGGCACTGGCCACTGGGGGGCGCCCATGTGTCATACATCTCGGAGGAGCATCTGGAGCCTGGCAGAGGCTGCCTAAACCTGCACGCAATCCAGTTATTGAAACTGAAGGGGCAGGCTTGGCCTGTGCTGAGAGCTGGACGTACACACGTCCCAGCTGTGCCTGAACTGGGATGGCAGCTGCAGCATCATTGGCATCATCTCATTTTGTCATCTTATCAATTTTGGGGGTGAATATGACCTTCATGTCACCAGTGAAGCCACTAAGAGCTCACTAAAATGACTGAGGAACCTGACCAAGTGCCCTGAGTTAGAGAGTGACCTGGCTTGGCACATGTGCCCCTCTCTGAAAAGATGAACACAGTTGTCACTTGCTCCAGAGCACTGCTGGCTAACAGATGCAGGTGAAGATGAGGGCGGGGCAGGACAGGGACACCTGTGCATGCGAAGCTCTGGCTGGTGTCCTGGCTGGTGTCCGGGAAGGTAGGGAGGCAGTGAGCCAGGCTGATAAGGTAAGCATGGGGTCAGCCAGCTGTGTGCCTGCAGAATTCTGGCCTTGCATCTTCCCTGGGTCTGTGCAAAGCCTCTCCAGCAGCCCCTATTTCTGCCAGGCTCCTCCCTTCCTCTCTCTGACACATGCACAGCTTGGAGGAGAAGACCCTTGATTCACAAATAATTAAGACAAACAAAACAAAACAAAAACCAGATTAAGACAGCCTACATCTGGGCCTGTGCTTTCCCCCTGGGCTGATTTAGTGAGGATCAAACTGAATTTATGTACTGACTTCCTTTCTTGGAGGGGCAAGTGGGAGGAAACTGAATGCATTAAGGGTTCACAGGGCCCACACAGGCTGCCCAGAGGTGGTAGACAGAGCTGCCATCCTGCCCAGGGGAAGGGGAGCCTGAGAGGTCAGGGACAGAGCAATAAAACAGCCCTATGTTGCTGCGTCTTGCTGGCTGCCCTGGGAGTGCCCTGAGCTGGAGAAAGGAGGGAGCTCACACTGGGAGATACTGAGAGTAGAATCTGGCTGGTCACAGACACCCACACCTGGGGTCCCTGGCTAGGAACAGATGGGAGAGCCTTGGCCAGGCAGAGCCTCTGGGACCTGCCCTGTGCATAGGGCAGCACTGCCAACTTCTAGAGATGGCTGTTTCCAGGAAAGCCCTTCCACAGAGATGGTTCTGCTTTTCAGAAGACATGTCCTGATTTAAAAATTCCAATTTGGCCGGGGATTTAGCTCCGTGGTTCAGCCACCTGCTTTGCAAGCTCAAGGTCCCGAGTTCCATCCCTGGTACCAAAAACAAAACAAAACAAAACAAAACAAAAAAATCCAATTCGACTAAGCCACACTTTCCAAAGGACAGACAGACCAAATACATCTGGGGGCTGTATCCACCTCCGTCTACCTGTTTCCTGCCTCTATGTTTGGGAGGTTATCACTATTCTGCAGATGGTGACAGGAAGTCACACAGGCAGAGCAACTTCCCACCAGACGGGGGCGGAGCTGAGATGGAGGATCAGAGGGCAGGCAGTACAGGGGGGAGGTGCTCCCGCCGGCCTACCTTGGGCATTGGGAATTCACAGGCTCCTGCACAGTAGTAGGCGTCAAAGAACTTGGGGGAGATTACCCATTCATTCCACCCAATGTCTGCGAAGTCCACCTTCAGGTACCGCCGCGCGCAGACCCGCGGCTCGTCCCACTGTCTCCTCCGCGCTTTCTGCATCGTCTTCTCATCGAAGTCCAGCACCTGCGAGGTGGTGGCAGGAAAGGTGTCCTGGCCCTTCCTCCTGC